TTTCAGGTATGATTTATAGTTTTTCTCTGAATGATGCTGTATGTAAATGTCACTCCTTTGCTTCTACCTTGTAGGATGCCTAACACCCTTTCTGTCTTTCTGTAGGCTGCTCAGTTGCCCAGCAGAAATATGCCTTTCTCAGTTTCCTTCTGTTTCCTGTCAAACTAAATATGGGGGAAAATGGTCTCTAAATACTTGTGAAAGGAAAGAGTTATGAGAGTAAAGGGAAACAGAACTATAGTCCTGAAAGTAGTTATAGATATGTTTGAAGATGTTTCTGGTCTCTGCCATCCATGTTACAGAGTGAGGTGGAGATGGAGGGGATGTGTGTAAATCAGACACTTTCTCTGCTCTGCTCATCAGCATCTTTGTTCTTTTCTTTGAGCGGACAGTTCATACCCAGCCCAAGTCTTTTTTTTTTTTTTTTTTAATCCATCCAGTAGGTGTCCCATTAGTAACTTAGTTTTTTTTTTTTTTTTTTATTGAATGGTAACTATGTACATTAATGCACTTCTGGGGTACAGTGTGGGGTTTTCACACACAATCCGAAACAATTCCATCAAACTGTCATTTTCCTAGTTATTATTTTAAAACGTTCACATTCTGCTCTTAGAAAGATCACTTGTACCTTGTAAGATAAACCTCAGAAGTGATCCCTCCAATCCCTCTCCCTCCACCCATTCTCCCCTCACCCCTTCCTCCCCCCTTCCCGTATTCTTAGGCTGTTATTAGGTATAGCTTACATATAAAAGGTATAAATTAGTTTCATAATAGGGGTGTGTACATTGGATACTTTTTCTTCCATTCTCATGATACTTTGCTCAGAAGAGCACTTTCCAGCTGCATCCATGTGAACATGAAGGATATAAAGTCTCCATCTTTCTTTATGGCTGCATAGTATTCCATGGTGTACATATACCACAGTTTGTTAATCCATTCGTGGATTGATGGGCACTTGGGCTTCTTCCATGACAGTAACTTAGTTTTAAGTTGTTACGCCATTCTCAGTTTTGATTTTCCTTGTGTGTACTCATGTGTATTTTGGTTAGAACTTGGCAGGAAGTGTGTCTGACATAACCTCTCTACCAGTGTTAACCTCATTGTGTTTAGCATAGTTTTTTTTCTTTACTGTATCTTGCTGAAATATTCCCAGCACCAGATCTTACTTTTCCATGGCCATCACTCTGTCACTCCCTTGCATTCCCTTGAAATCACAAGGAGCGGTGGGTTCTCAGCAGTTACTGCCCAGCCTGTCCTCCCGGTGGTGGTGGTGTTCATGGAACGTGATGGTAAAGGCTTTGCTGTGATCCCCAGTGCCTGTGGATCCCCTCCTCTGTTCCAGCATCTACTTCCAAATTCTCCTGGAGCTTGTGTACTTAGTAACCTATATAGTCACTTGATTTTAGTGACAAGGCCAGGATTATCACTTGCTTCTTTTAGGAACAACTGTGGGCACCACTGTACAAATGTGTATTCTCTATAGGACACTGGAGTAAAAAGGCCAAAGCAGAGGAAGGGACACATGTGCTCCCTGCTCTATTTGTCCTCTCTTCTATATTCCTTTTATTGCTGCTCCTCTGGGTGGCATGAGCCATATTGATTTTTTGATACATTCTGTTTTTTGTGACTGTTCATGTATGAAGATAATTTAGGCAGGTGTGGTTATCTAGGACAGTTATCTAAGTAGGAATTGTTTTTACCTGATAGTCTTTTATATAGTTGTTGAAATTATTATTTGTTGTTTTCTTCTTTATAACTGGGGAAAGAAAGAAACCACAGATTACTTAACCAATTTAAACATGTGATTTAACTACTCTGACAAAAAGTTTAGTAGAATAAGAAGTGGAAACTAAATGTTTGAAAGGCTCTTTCTAAGTTTAAGTTATTAATGTATCTTACCCTAACCCTTCTTCATCTCCTACTTTAGTAATTATAATCCTTGGAGACTGGCTTGCAAACCAAATTAGGCCATAGCCTGGCTTTATTATACATGGCTGTGTTTTCCAAGGGTTCCTTTAAAAGAAAAAAGATGACGATCTGATAGAGGGTTGTATGTGGCCACAAAGCCAAAAATACTTACGGTCTGGCGCTTCATAGAAGTGGTTTGCCTGTCCCTGATCTGGCTTGATTATTTGTCTCTCACACAGGCCAGCAGTAACGTACAATGATTAGAGTAAGTATGTAAGTTTGTGTCTGACTCCGAATTCTGCGCGTACATAAACATCATGTCTTAGTGCCTTATATAAATGCATACTCAGGTATTAGGAAGTTTTTTTGATTGCAGTTGTAAGTTTGACTTCCACATTTTATTGGAGAGTTAAATAAAACAATCAGTTGTAGTGAATCAATAGACAGTCTTTCTGTAACCCTGATTTTTCTTTGAATGGTACTTTTATATATACATTTTTATCTCCTATGTATAAACTTATGATGTTCAACTGCTTCACATATTTAAGTTTTAATAGATTAGAAAAAATAACAAACCTGTGATCATGTACCAAGTTGCTTACTGAGTTATTCTACTTAAAAATGTTTTCAGAGAAAATAAAAGGTCAAGTGAACCAGACATTGGGTTACTTGGTTTAATTTCCTGGAAAATAGGATTGCCTTTATCAGATCCCAGTGTCTCTGGGTCCTCATGCTCGGCTGACAGCTTGACAGTGGCTCTGCTGTGGTGGAGATGGGCAGGAGGGAGTTGCTTTGTCAGCAGAAAGGGCTGTAAACTGAGCCGGGGGACCAGGGTCACCTCATCTTGACCTGCTGATCAGTGATGGGTTTTGTCAGCATCAGAGAACGTGGCGGCATGACTTCCCTTAATGCTGACTTTGACTTAGAAGGTAACATTGGAGGCAGGGCTACTGCAGGGTGCAGTATCTTACTGCCCTGGAGGAACCACACGCAGTGCCCCCTCAGTAAAACTGCAGCATGTGCTGACTTTTCTTTTGCAACCAGGATTGTCACAGAATCCTAGCAGAATCTAAATAAAGAATGTGAGCTGATTTGCCTGTGTACAACATGGAAATCTTTCTGGTTTAGCTTTTTAATACTTAGGCATAGTCTGTACCCTTTCCTTAAAGATAGGGCAAGAAGTTTTTTTCTATTTAACTTAATAAGTGGAACTTAAGTTTAAGCTTTGACATGTGGAAACATTTTATGTCACTGTCACCACATAATCTAAATTTAAGACATTAAAGAAATTATTTTCACTGTGAATCAACCAAGATAATTAAAAATACAGTGGTTGATTTTTTTTCCTATTTCTTTTTCTTTCTGTGAATGTGTGTCTTCAACAGAGGTACAATCTGTTTATAATAAATGATGTTATAATTTTGAACAAAAGTTGAAGTGGCTTTCCAAAAAAAAGAAAAAAGGATAAAAAAGAGCAAGTTTAGAATTAAAAACTAATTACAAGGAACAGAGAAATAGATGTTATAGGCATTGAGAACATGTTCTTAGTACACTTGAGGACTGAATTTGAGTCAGTTTCCTGACCACTGAGTCAAGGGAAATACGTTGAATTATGTAGCTCTGATCAAAAGAAATACATGTCTTTTTGTTTGTTTGTTTTAGCATAAATCTGCCACCTGTGACTGATAGATTAAGAAGAACCCATAGTTCCTTGAAGAAAGAATTCTAACTCACTATTTGAATGTATGGAATAGGTGTCATTTTAGCATACTAGTTGTGAAGGCCTTTGAGTTAAACATCTTACATTAGTTCTTTTTGCTGTAGCAAGTTATGTGAAAAAAATTTGGGGTGTTTTAGCAGCTATTATTTTCAGGAAGAGAAGCCTCTTTTCTTTACAACTGAATGCAGTTCTCAATTGACATAAGTACATTATTCTCATTCTACATGTGTGAAAACAGAAGCTTGGACAGTAAAAGTTGCTTGCTTTAATCTAGGGGGATTTGGGGGTGAGGTTTTATGTGCTAAGATTGGGCACCTTTTGGGTTTGGCATCGTGACCTTGGGTAACTTGTTTTAATTTCATGGAGCCATGGTTTTCCCATCTGTAAAACAGGAAAAAAATGGAAGCTATGGCACTGGCTTCTTTAATAGATGAAAAATATATATAAGAAACTTAGCTTATATATTCATGGGTCAATTGATGTTTGCATTGCTGTTTTTAATTTTTTATATCATACTTTTGAATTTGAAATGAATTGTATTTGACCATTTTGTTTTGAAAATTTTCCTAATTTTTCACCCTCAAATAAGCCTGCTTTGTTCTGTTTAAAATATGTTCTCTTCATAGGTAAAATAATCTTTAAATGTAAATTATTAAATGATGTCCGTAGAATCTTTATCAGGTTCAGGCAGACATAAATCAATAACAGCAAAAAACACCAAACAGATGTGCACATCTGTGGTTAATGTTTGGTAGATATTGCTAGGTATCTCTTGGGAACCCTCAGAGAAATAATTTATTGTAGAACGAATTATATGTATTTTGTCATGTCATGTTTTAAGGTTGTAATTAAATGTTTTGAGCTTAGTAAACTCAAAATAATAGTATTCCTATTTTGTAAATGGTGAAATTGAAGAATAAGAATGACTTTCCTGTGGCCAAATAGAAGTTATTAAAGGTTTACTATCACTTATGTGAAATGCTTGGGATCTGGAGTGTTCCATATTTCTGAGTTTTGGCTTGGAAAAGCGCAATCTATAGTAATGAGAACCAGGACACCTGAGTATGGGAAAAGTATTACTTTTCTTTTTCCCTTTTCTTTTTTAATTCAGTTGTTTTTACCACTCAATCTTGAAGTTCAGGTCATTGAGTATGTGTAGAATGTACTATTTTAATAGTGTTAAACTATGAATAACTTAGACGTGTGTCTCTTGAGTACATTGCAGAGTATGGCATATTTGTACTCCTTTCCAGCAGAGGAAATAATGGGACCATTTTTTAAAGCTGTTTAAAAATGTCATTTTGATGTAATATATTCCCACCCATTAAAATGGCCTGCATTTTAACAAGTTTTGTTTTTTTTTTTTTTTAAGCCATCCATCAAAAACTAGAAGCGGATGGAACGGAAAAAGTTGAAGGATCCATGACGCAAAAACTGGAGAATGTTCTGAACAGTAAGTTTTATCCTACTACCCAAAACTATTTATGGACTTTATAACAAGCTTTAATATAGTTCTTGGACCTGATTTTACAGGACAAGGCAGTAAGTTGCATTTTAATATTTATTTCTAAATAGTAGTGATTTAATGAATACAAAAGAAAACAGAAGCGTTGAAAATGAATGTTCTGTTTCTGTTTGCCTTTTATTTATGAGAAATCATAATTTGAAAACAAGCCAATATACTTCTTAAGAAATAAAATTTGCTACCATAAAACAAACTGGCATATAAATAGCATCATCAAAGATAGGAAAGCTCTGAGGCAGTTGCCAGGATTGTCATTGAGTAAGAATCTGGAAAAGCCATCGTCAAGTGACTACCAGCGTTAATGCAAATAACCTCGGCTTTAGAATGACAGATACTTAGATGTCATTTATTTGTTTGCACCCTGCCTTTTTCCAAAAAAAATTTATGCAGCTGGATATTTAATAGTATATCTAAATCTGAGATATTTTGTAAAAATTACAGGCCCAGGAAAAACTTGTATGTTGAAAGTTTTGGATCCATCCACCTTCTGTTTTGTCCTTTTTCTGACATCTGAGATTCTAGCTACTTACCCTACTGATTTAGAAGGAACTCATCAGGTGAATTAATCCTTGTTATACAATTAGTGCCTTAAAAATAAGTTAATTTCTTTCATGCATGTAGTTAATATTTGATATGAAGCAATAATACCCATAGGAATCTTCTTGTTTTTAAATATAACATGATTTCGTCCTAAGGCAAAGTTAAAATTAACTGAAAAAAATTAAAAAACCTCACATCAGAGTTTTAAAGATTCTATGAATGTAGGATTGTGATAAGAAGTTACTACCAGTGTTACTGTACTTCTAGCGTAACACTGTACTTAACACTGTACTTCTAGCTTAATATAGTCTCATGAGTTGAACTGTGAGTCTTTATTTAAATATCTGTTCAGAAACCTGAAGAATCTTGAATAAGAAAGTATTTTCTAGCAAGAAGCTTTAATTTGATATAAGCTTTCGTTGGTAGTGGAATGTGAGTATTTGGATTTCCTTCTAAATTTGTGAATTTAACAGCATGTAAAGATATTTTCCCCTATTACTATTACTTGTCTGGAGATTTTGCCTTGCAAAAGTCGGTCTTTGAGAACTGACTTACCAACTTCATTAGAATGGGTATGTTTTGAATTCAGCTCAAATTTATTGAAGCTCTTTCTATATTAGCATAGTCAGACATTTTAAAGGTCTTAGAGGCTTGGCACCTGTGGCTCAAGCGGCTAAGGCGCCAGCCACATACACCCAAGGTGGCAGGTTCGAATCCAGCCCGGGCCCGCCAAACAACAATGATGGCTGCAACCAAAAAATAGCCGGGCGTTGTTGGTCCCAGCTACTTGGGAGGCTGAGGCAGGAGACTCGCTTGAGCCCCCGAGTTGGAGGTTGCTGTGAGCAGTGAAGCCATGGCACTCTACCCAGGGTGACAGCTTGAGGCTCTGTCTCAAAAAAAAAAAAAAAAAAGGTCTTAGAAAGTTATTTTCTACTCAGGAATGTTATTTGCACTAAAGAAGTTGTCATGAAATTAGGATATCTACAAAAAAACAAGAAATAAGACTATTTCAATAACTTTAAAAAGGTGACTTGTAGGAACAGCTGACATAATCAGTATATCATTGTGTCAGTAAAAGAGATATTTGCTAAGATTTGGAAAATACTAAGGCTTAACATAGTGTGGTAATGTAATTTTTTTCTTTTAAGGAATAGTTTGGGAAATCCTCCCTGGGGACTTGTATTAAAAATTGTAAGGGAAATTGTTTTACTTATATTCATTTATAACCATGAACTTTTTCAGAAATGTGTCATATTAACTTATTATTGAAGTTTGCTCTTTTTGGATAAAGTTGGTCTTGACATAAATGGTCACTTCTTTATGAGAGATTCCTTCAGGATTTTTTGGTATAAAAATTTCCATAAAACATATTCCTTTGTAACAATCCCCTCTTTCCAGAAGCATTCTTTATCCACATGATGTTGATGTTTGCTATTTTAGGATAAGGTCTTGCTAATTCAGTTCAACTTGACAAATGTTTATTTATCCCTGATTGTGTAAAATCTGGTGCTTAACCAGTCTGGGATACAGAGTGTCTCCTGCCCAGTTGAAGGTTTCATGGTTATCCAGGACTTCAGTACCATAGAAACAGTGGAAAAAATACAGCAGAGAATTAAAATCAAGAAAAATTCATTCAGCTGCAATCTTAGAAATTTGGTTTCTTTTCTTTTGGAAAAGAAGGAAAAAAAGAGTAAATGAATGTGAATGGAATGTAGTTAAGTTTGCTTAAAGTATTACTGTTTTTGTTATAGGTATAATTATATAGTAATTCATATGTTTGTTTTTCTTTTTCTTTAGTGTTTTAAAACGAGAGTTTTAAGAAGTTTGGGCAATCTTTCTCACTTTAAGCTGAGTTTGTAAAGGGTGGTATTAGCTGAAAGAAACTTAGACTGTTTTGTTCAGAGTTTATCAGTGTTGACGTGTTTTATTGAAATTGTTTTTATTTTCATTGGCATGTGTTCCTCATGTTTGCCTTTGAACTTAATAATTTCTTCTTGACTTTAAACCAGAAATACTAGTTTATTTATATCAGATTCACACATATTCCAAGAGCATAGATCAGCACTGTTCAGTGGAACTTCTGCAATGATAAAAATGGAGCTATTGAGCACTTTGTGTGCTTAGTACAGTGGAAGAACTGAATTTTAAGTTTTTATTTAATTTTAATTAACTTAGCTTTGAATTGAAAAAGCCCTGTGTGGCTAGTAGCTTCTGTATGAGACAATGCAGGAATAGACAATGCTGTGTAAGTGTTCATCATCACATTTGTGGTAGTTAATAGCTAAAACATACTAATATTATACATAAGGGTCAGGCATTACTCTGACTAGTCTCCGTATATTTAGTCCTCACAACAGCCCCTTCAGATCTGTGCTACTCTCTTCATTTTATATATGAAAAAGCTGAAGCCCAGAAGGTTAAGTGAGCTATATACATAAGGTTATAAAGTAAGAGGCAGAGCTGGGAGTTATGTCCAGAAATCTGACTCCAAACTTGTCCTTTGAACTATAGGTGGTCCTTGCTGTGCGTGGTTTGGACAGGCACAGATTAGAGTTACCACAGTGTATTCGCCTAACTGCATTAAGTACAAAGTTCCCACTAGCTCTTCAGTCCACAGGTCGCTATGTAAAGAATGGATGTGCACATGAACAACCACGTTCCTTCCTTCACCATCCATCAGTGACTGTCATTGAGTGTCTGTTATCAGTTCACACACAGACCTCAAAGCTTGCAGCTGGGCTGCTCCCTTATCTCCCTGTGTGAGACCCACGTAATGTTTTACAAAAATGGATAATCAAAAGAAAGGACTGGCCCCTAAAGATGAGAGTGCATCAGAAAGTGATAACAGTGCACCTGAAATTCAAATCTAGCATAAATGGAGTTATAGAAAAAATCGCTGACAGTGGGAATGTAGATCCTGCTCCTGTTCAAGACTTGAGAGGAGCTTGGTCCAACAGGAGTGGGAAAGTGTTTGTGAAGAAAAGGAGGAGACCCAGAGGAAGTGATGCTCAGAGGAACCCTCAGAGAGATTTCACAACCTTGAAAGAGCAAAGATAAAATGTCAGAAGCTGATTCACACTTAGAAAGGAATACAATAATTTGTTAAAGCGTAGAAAATATGCTTAATATTGTAAATTTTATGGAAAATAACAGAAGGCACATAGTTTAATTTTTTCTACAAAGAACTAAAATACCTCAATTTTTAATGTTTCCAATGTTTTAAATTATAGTGTACTAAATAATAGTTTTACTATTTTTATCTTCCTATTCATTTATAACTAATAGCAAGCTTTTAAAGTTTATTTAAAATAATATTTTAATATTTTTAAATTTTTTTTAAAAGTCATGGAACAACTGTGATTTTCCCATTGATTATTATTAAGATGGCTCTGCTGGGTTTCAGGTAACACAGCCGTTGTTACAATCTTGCATGCTGCAAGGTAAGGCCTGCGTGTACTGCTCTATACCACCTTTCTGGGATGAATCCTGCCATTGATTCAGAGATCTTGATCTGTAATCATTTATTGAGCACATGTTTGTTTTATCCTTGGGATATAAAGATAAAACTTGTTTTTCTGAGAGATTATAGTCTAATGGAACATAGGGACATATAAGCAGGTGATTGAATTCTGGTGCTATAATACTGTACTGGTGGTGTTCTTGGGATGTGTCTGGTGCTTGCACAGGGAGCAGACAGTGGAGAGAATATCGGGGGTGGGGGCGGTCTCAGGAGCCTTAGGAAGGGAGCGAGTAGTCAAAGAAGCAGAGAGTGGTGGTAGGTAGCTGAGTGGAGGGATACAGATGTATCCCAGCAGGGCCAGTGGCATGAGGGGAAGACACTGTGTCCAAGAGGAGATGGCTGCAGACCAGGAAGCAGCATCCCAGGTGGCTAATGTGCCCACGTAAGAGTTGAGGCTGTGAGGTGTGACAGACTTGCTAGGCAGTAGTGTGGAATTAGTCTTTGTCCTGAAGACTAATGGTGAACCATGGAAGCACTGTAAGTAAGAGATTGGTATTAGGAGATTTTTGAAGAACTGTCTGCCTTCTGTGTAGAGAGTGGATGAAAAGTAGGCACGGTAGAGGCAGGAAGGGAGACACACAGAAGTGCCCAGTAGCAGTGTAAGTCATGTACGTAGCAACGTGTGTCCTAAGAGAATAAGTTAATGTGAGGGTGATGCGGTGAGGACTTGAACCAGAACAGCTAGTGTAGGTGGAGTGAGGGGCAGGTGAGGAATGTTAGGGGATGAGGAGCACGGGATCTTGTCATTGATTTAATGTTAGATGTAAGAAAAGGAGGTAGTCACTGATGACTTCTAGATTTCTGGCCTCGAATGGAGGAAGAAGTTGCATATTTGAGGCATGAGGAGAGAAGTGGAGAGGGTGTTCAGCTTGGTTTATAACACGTTGCGTTGAGATCCTGAGAGTAATGGTGGTGAGTGCCTTCCCGGCTCTCAGTCCCTCCTTACTGTGTCACGGTGGACATGTGGAGGGTTTTAGTCCTCTCCTCCATAAATGGAGGTGAAAATAGCACCTGTGTTTCAGAGACATAAGCAAGTGCAAATGCATTAACATGTATAAAGTGTTTAGAATAGCACCTGGCATACAGAAGTGCCCAATATACATGTATTAGCTGTCGTTACTGTATGTCTAGTGAAAGTATTTTTAAAGGTAAGTTTTAAGCTCACAGATACATCTTATGATATAAATTTGGGAGTCGCCTGCATACAGATGGTAGTCAAATTAATAGGCTTGAATGATTCATGGTGCTACATGTAAAATTAAAATAAGAAAGCCAAAGCTTTTGGACACATTCATCAGTGGAGAGTCAAGTATATGAAAAAGAAACTACTCAGTGGTTGCTAGTAAACATTTGACAAATGGCATTCAAAAGAGAAAGAAAGAAGGAAGAGAAAACCCTAATATTAGTATTTCTCAGTTTCCAAAGTGCAATCAGTTGATTTCAAGATACCGCCAACTTGACTTGCAAAGAAGTTGAAGAGAGATGCCAACAATTGGCTCTGGAGAGTGGTTCAGAGCTGAGTTCAGCTCTTCCCTCATCTCCAAGACTCAAGTCCTGTGTGCTTTACACACAGCTATAGGATTCACGGTCAGGCATGGTGTTGTAAATAAGCATCGAATACCATTCATGTAAGGCCATTATGGTGTAGATAGCAGTGTAGCTAGTCCTTTTGTAGGATCTGTGGAAACAGTCGCATGCAGCAGGTCCTTAGGTCTCCTTGTGGTCCTGAATTTGCTATGCATTTGAGTATACACTTTAGTTACCTTAATTTTCCAGGTTACTCTAATATTTCATTTCCTAATCTTGTTCAGTTTGCCTGTTCCTGAGATAATTTGTGTTGTGATGGGAGCTGGGTAGGGGGGCCCCTCTGTTCTACCCCTGACCCCCCAGTTCCCATCAGGCAGAAAGCACAGATTAAAAATCACTTCTGTGACCTATTGTCTCAAGTGTCAGTAACAAGGAAGGGACTAATAAGGTCACTTTGAAATTAGAGAAGATATAATGTTTACTTTAAATAAACATGCTTGAAATTATAAGACAGCATTAGCATTACAGGGCTAGGTTTTATAGATGATGGGAATTCCTGGCACACTTAAAATGTTTTTTGGCTGCTGAAGATGTAAGATCCCTGGGCAGGTGTGAGTCTTGTTGTTTAGTGTGTGGTGTTACGGTGACTTTTATTCCCATCTTTACAGAAAACTGTACTACTCTACAGGCCTAGCAATGGTGGCAGCGCCCTATTGTTAATTCTTGGGGTTCATGTGTAACTGATACATTGATAGTCACTGTTCTCATTAACTGGTGTTGAGACCATCTTCAGGAGAGAAGAAGGGACCAAGTTTCAGGTCGAGGCTTGCCTAGGCCTGGTAAATGTAGATGAAGGTTTGTTCTGCAGCCTGTAGGGCCACAGCCTTGGTTTCCCTGGATAGCTGGTCTGGGTAGACTTGTTTGATGGCTGCACACTGGATGTTCATGCCCCTGCCAGCTGCCTTCAGATTGGATGTTCTTGGTGTGCAGAAGTAGGGGAGAAAGTGTGTGGATTAGCGCATGGAGGGGATTTTTTTCAGACAGCTTTGTGGATGGCTTCCTCACGAATGAAGAGCACCCCTTTCATGTTTTGGGTTTGTTTTTTATTAGTAGCTGTAGAGAAGAAATTCATTCTGTGACCTGCTGGTGACTTTTATCTATTTGCACAAGTCTTGGTTTCACAGCTCTTATGTTTTATTGCAGGATATATCATCCAGTTATCAAAGAGTTGTGAACTATAATTTTATTGTGATTACAGTAGATTTATAGACAGAATATTTTGTAGACAGAAGTTTCTTATAAATTAAAGTTATAATTATTAGTGTCAAATTTTCCTTATGTAAATACATATAGTTCGGCATAAATAAAATTATAATTTTATAGTTTACAATTCCTGCCTATAAATTTTTCTCCATAAAGTGTATATTTTGTTTGCTTGTTTTCGTACTTTAGAGGTGCTAAATATTAGTTGGTAATTTTTTACTACTTTAAAAATAAGATAAGAAAAATCTAATTTTGAACTCTTACACTTTTTGCCCCAGATTCCTTCATTATGCCCAAAAAAGAAAAGTGCTTGGTAATTAACATTCAGACCCTACACTTATTATCCTTTTTAAATGATTCTAGTCCTTATTTATATTCATATTTGCTCATTTATGAAGCCTCAATTTATGAAATTTATATATTTTTAAATGACAGACACTTTAAAATAATTTTCTTTGAGGGGAAAAAAGTTCTATAAAGCTAGTCAGATTTCAAATATTCATTGAGCTTCCATTATGTGGTTTGGTGGCAAGAAGGAAATAGATTTTCTCTCATCTTACAGTAGACGTTTAGTATTCTACATTCGATAGCATGTCACGAAAACAGCTATCTTGACAAAACAAAGTTTTTATATCAGGCCTTTAAAATTTCAACAGAATTTAAACATTATTTAGATAAAACAATCATGTTACAAAGACGACTTTTAACACGATCAGGCCACCCACAGTGTGGACTAGAGTATATGGCATGTAAGCCACCCAGTGAGACTGAGGTCATTTTTTCATCTTTGCTTAAAGTATAGTCACTAGACCAGATAATGTAGAAACTTTTTACAAGCAGCGATCAAACAACCAAAAACAATTTATCCTTTTTCTCCCCTTTCCGTGTGGCTAAATAAAAATAATTCAGAAGTTACAAAATTTAAACAGGTTTTGTACGCAGCAAATTTTTGCATTTAGATAAAGCATCTCTTTCATTACAGTGATTCATATAGTTTGAGGTCTTTTAGGTTAAAAAAACTTATGAATTGTCCAGTTCATGTATAATTTTCTAAGAATTAGTGATTTAAGAACTATTAATGATGCTGTGTTCAAGTTTGTCATATTAAGTTGCTTGCATAATTTTCTGTGTCTGCTATCTAAAAAGATAATTCCACTAAGAAATGGGATGAGTTTTAAAAATATTTCTTTTGAAGAACTTTTCCAAAAACTATTTTTCTTGTTTCATTTGTGACTCCATATGTAGATATTGAACCCATGGAACTTAATGTATGTGTGTGTGCATGCATGGGTATGTGTGTGTTTACCCTATTGTCTGAAGTAATGAAATAACCTAAGGGCCCGAGATTGCTATAAAATTTAGAAGCGTAACTAAAATAAATGTAGGTTCATGTTAGAGAATTTATTTGGGTATGGTAAGTATGGTTGTTTTTACGTTGGATACCATTCTTAACATATGAAAAGACTTAGGGAAAATGGAAATTTTATTTTAGCAAACTGTAAAAGATTTCCAGTATAGCTAAGTTTAAAAACATAGTCTGTTGACTTTTAATGTAAAGCTATAATAGTGGTTTAAAATTTTGTTTCTAGTGCCCAGTTACACGTTTTCTGATTAAAATCAGCTTTCATCTAAGTTTCCTTTTCTCCTTTTAAAATAGAAGCAAGTAATACTGCGGACACGTTATTTCAAGAAGTCCTAGGTCGAAAGGACAAGGCAGATTCCACTAGAAATGCACTCAATGTGCTTCAGCGATTTAAGTTTCTTTTCAACCTTCCTTTAAATATTGAAAGGAATATTCAAAAGGTAGAGTACATATCTATTTATGTACATGTGGTTATAGATGTCATAAATTTTAAAGATTTAAGGTGCTTTTTATATTCACTAAATGTCTTCATTATGCTTTATTATCAGTCCCCAAAATGTTTTTTATGTTTTTGTTTTAAAGGGTGATTATGATGTCGTCATTAATGACTATGAAAAGGCCAAGTCACTCTTTGGGAAAACGGAGGTGCAAGTTTTCAAGAAATGTAAGATTTGTTTATTAATTTTAGATCTTCTCCTTTCCTTTTATAGGAGGACTGTGGAATGTATTCTGTAAAGAATGTTCTGTGAGCTTTAGTTTTTGTTTATACGGTACTGTGTTTAAAATTTAAAACAATTACTTCAAAAATAACATTATGACTTTTCTTACTTGAGATGCAGTGAAAAGGAGCAACCACGATGGTAGGTTGTCTCAGACATTCTGCGCCCTTTGTTCACCACAGTGCTATTAAAAAATATTTTTTACTGGAAAGAATCAATGACAGGTATTTATAGAGACGGAAACCTACATTTTAATCTTTCCTCTTGAGAAACACAAGTCCGTATACTTATGATTACCCCGTTTAAAGCAAACTCAGTAACTTTCGAAATTCTCTCTAATACCAGAGTTATAGAAAATAAGAAAAGCTTAAAATGCCCCGTGGTAGGTAAAGCCTTTTCAACTAAGAGGAGTATTAAAGGCTTTATGAAATTCAAAAGTGATATCTCTAAGGCCTCAGAAAGCTTACTCTTTTTATTGTGGTAAAATTCACATGCAGTGAAATGCACAGACCTTACGTATTACAGGTCAGTGGGTTTTGACACCCCCGTAACCGACACCGAGACATGAGTGTTTTGATCACTCTGGAAAGCTCCCTTGTGCCTCTTCTCAGTCGATCTTCGCCCCCCTAAAAGCAACCACTGTTCTGCTGTCGGAAATTTGATTTTTAACTTTCACTCTGCAAATCCTTGTATATGCTTTTCTTTTTTAATAGATTATGCGGAAGTAGAAACACGGATTGAAGCTTTAAGAGAATTACTTTTGGATAAATTGCTTGAGACACCTTCAACCTTACATGACCAAAAACGTTATATCAGGTAAATATCTTCTGCAAGAATTTTCATGAGTCACACTTACCCGTTTGGTACCGGATGCATCAGGCAACCTTTAAAGCTAATTTGAGGGAAATTAGGAGACTGATGAAAGGGAAGACAAATAGTAGTTAGTAATTTAGGGGTATCTGGTGTAGAACGTCAGAATTCTCCTGAATACTAATACATTTGTGAGTGGCTGTGAAGTACTCACATCTTGAAGGATAGAATATTGTGGCTGGTTTGGAGAAAGGAAAGGCAGCCTTGTTGCTCAGTTACCTCCTCCTGCTGCTGAGCAGTGGCTACCTGACCCAGTGGGTGGTGTGGGTGTGGCCCCCTGTGTGCCCCTGTCTGTGAGGTAGGGGCTCCTGTGTGGTTCAGAGCGGAAGGCTGCAGGGCAGGACGTCCTGCCTGCCTCAAGAGTGTGCCATTGCTCAGCAGTAGAAGAAGTGCAGGAACGTTTTAGCCTCAACTGGCTGTCTGATTTGCAAGCCTTTCATGATCAATAAAAGAGAAATAAAGTTACTAAGTGGGAATACTTAAAAGAATAGCAGTCCTGAGGTGGACACCACAGGATATGAAGACGAGTCCTTAGGAGGAGGCAGTATTAGCATGTGTGGGAGGCCCAGCTGTTCACTGTGGGCTGCTTCATCTGTATGGACATGATAACAGGATCCGTGTCTCAGGGTAGCTGTACAGGTGATCAGGAATACATTAAGGATTTAACAGCACCTGGCACATAATAAGTAGTCAATAAACTTGATATAAATGTACTTTATACCAGGGTTTAGGACAGAGCATGAAAATTTTAAGCCTTCTTATATTTGCAATTAAAAAATATTAATCTTATTTTCTGCTGGAATTATTGTGAGTATTGCCTTTGTTCTTAGAATAAGCTATTATTTTCCAAATTTACATTTCACTTGTCTTTGATTAGTGAAGTTTACTGAGTGTTCAATAGTTATAAAATGGTAACAGACCATATAAATTTATGTGTTGAAAATGATCTGTAGGGCAGATAGAAGGTCTGACCTGAAAGCTGCTATGTGTGCAGTTGTGGTGGGGACAAGGGCCCCCACACAGACCTGTGTCCTAGGGATTGGGCACATGGTGAGCTTTGTCATTGGCAACACACTTGTGTTGACTATGAGGAAGTGACTAGAGGCTCTGGCACTGGAATAGAAAGAGAGCTAAACTGCTTCTACCACTACCGTGTGTGTGCAGTATATGTGTGTATGTGTGTCCTCTCTAATCTCCACACCCACCACAAATGGATACCTGTACAGTGCCCATCCTACAGGGGACAGGAGCAAAGCTTGCCTGGCCCTCACGGCAAGGAAGAAGACCCTGGTTTTTCTGGTTCCAGAGCCTCCTTGCTTCTCTCTAAGCGCCCTCCATAAGGAAAGATACATATGGGGAATCTACATATGTAGAAGCCAGGAAATTTAAAGCTGGAAATAAACTATATGTTAATTATCTAAATGCTTTATTTTCTACATGTGAAGAAACAGAGTTCCAGGGAGGTTGAGCATCTTGCCTCGGACATGCAGCTGGCTAGAGCAGGTGTCCTGATCCTTGCTCTCTGTGTTCCCCTCTGCCACTTCACTGTTTGAGCTATATGTATTTACTTCCCTATTTAGATATATATTAAATTTGCCTACAGTAACATGTTTAACTTTGTAAGTGTGCACTTTATGTAGTGAATTACCATCTAGATGGATAACTGATGTGTAGTTCTAATGGTTAACTTACTGGCTGCCATTTAAAGGTGGTAGTGTTATTAAAGATACTTTTAAAGGCCCTATTTTACTGCTTTTTTCCCCTATTATTTTGTTTTTTTTTTTTTGGAGACAGAGCCTCAAGCTGTCCCCCTGGACAGAGTGCCGTGGCATTACAGCTCACAGCAACCTCCAACTCCTGGGCTCAAGCGAGTCTCCTGCCTCCACCTCCCAAGTAGCTGGGACCACAGGCGCCCGCCACAACGCCCGGCTATTTTTTGGTTGCAGCCGTCATTGTTGTTTGGCAGGTCCGGGCTGGGGATTCGAACCCGCCACCTTAGGTGTACATGGCTGGCGCCTTAGCCCGTTGAGCTACAGGCGCTGAGCCTCCCCTATTATTTTGAAAGTAAAAGAGCAAGAATATCAATGGTTTATTTTTTAATGAATATTTTATTTCCGATGCTTTGAAAAGATACTGAGCAGTTCTATTACCTATTAAATTAAATTTTTAGTCAATAGTAAATAGAAAAATCAGATCAAAACCAGGTCAAATATCTGTTAGATTTTGAAATCTATGGTGATAGATACTGAGAACACCAAGTCGGGGATAGAGACAGCTTTGTTATCAACAAAAGTCCATCTATATTAGTTTTCTTACATTATCGAGGTATGCATGGTAAGTAAAATCGGATTACTCTTGCATTATCTTACTTTTGTTCACTATTATCTAATTAAAAACTTCGGGGCGGCATCTGTGGCTCAAAAGGGTAGGGCACTGGTCCCATATGCTGGAGGTGGCAGGTTCAAACCCAGCCCCGGCCAAAAACTGCAAACTGGAAAAAAACCACCACCACCAACAACAACAAAAAAAACTTCCTGGTTATTTTCACTATTCTGTCTTGATGCTGGCAGGCAACATATTAGTAGTTTAGCAAGAGGCAAATCTCTGTGTGCTTCTTTTCACGTCAGTGTGATCCTGTCCCTGATAATTGTTAAAAATTATGTCAGAATATGGCTAAAAACTTAAATTTTAACCTTTAAAATACTGAGTCCATAGTCATCGTAATTCACATTCTTTGCCTTGTTATTTCCTCTAAAAAAAGACTTGTTTTAGAAGTATTTTTTACATGCAGTTTTAAAAGAAATAGCAACAATGTGTATTCTAAACAATGATCTTTGAAATGAAACTATTTATTTTTAAGCTGCATACTAAAAAGAGGGACTTTTTGGAAGAGCCTAGCACAAGGTGTACTTTTGAACTGAATTACTCTAGAATTTCCAAGAGAACAATTTTATTTTTCTTATAGAGAGTTTTATAAAACCTCTCATAAAAACTCTTTTTACTTCAATACCCATTAGTAAGATGATAGAAAAAGTCTTATTATTAAATTTTGCCGGGAAATGGTCAGCTTACTAAAGAGCCTTAAAGTTTGAAAAGTTACTAAGGAAACAGTAGGTTTTTGATTTCTCTTTCCATACTGCTATAGAAAGAGCTTTTAATACTGAATCATCTACATTCCTAATTAAAAATTAAAAGGAAACACCTTCCCTAAAAGCGCATTCCTATATTTTCTACTGATAACCACCATATCTGAGGATTGTGTGACTAAAATGTTAGGAGAAAGTATTTGGAGGCAAACAAGTCTGTCTGGGGAGACTATAGAAACATCCCTAGCAAAAACAGATAAAATCACATGTTCTTTGGAAATAAAAGACACAATGGACTATTTGTTATATTTGTATTTTATATAACAGAAGAGGAAAGAAATCCTGTGTGAGAGAAAGAAATCAGATTGGACTTTGGAAGCTTTGAAAATAAATTCCCTATGCCAAGCTCAATGTAATTTGACGTCTAATTGTAGTTTTCTTCTCAGGATTCTATCCTCATGTATGAATAGGAGTCCTGGGTGACTTCCTCATATGCGTAAAGCTCTTTCTCTTAATTGACACAGCACAGAGACACAGCCTCTTTGCAGCCTGTAAATGCATAGTCATAGGAAGGAGGAGAGATGGCAGCTCTCCGGCCACCTCTGGTGGCCTGTGCGTGTGAGCCGTGCTGTGCTGTGGACTTTTGCAGTGACCACGTGTCCGGCTCTCCTCCACAGCCAGGCCCTGCCTGTTGGCTTGTGCAGGTCAGGGTCTGTGGGAGAGTTCCTAAACATGATGTCAGATTTCTTCACAAGGTTTTATTTGTTGCTAGCCTATTACAAAATGGATTTGTTTCTTTTTCAATTAGCTGCTAATTTAGATGTCTGAGTAATACATACCCACAACTAGAGAAATGTAAGAGGGAAGCATCAAGCGTATCCCTGAGTGATTAAAATTTGGTTCCAGGTCACAGCTTGTAACCATTAATGACAATTTACTGTTGAATAAAAATCATTAACCTCAAGACAAAAGACAGCTAGCTTATGGTTTAAGAATCATTTGAAGACAATAAATTCATTTGGATACGCTTTTCGAGTTGATGTAATTGTATTTGACTGGTTATATGTATGTATTTGGTGAGGGCTGAGGACCAAATCTTGAATATTTGACAAATTTTTCAACTGAAATATATTTAGATTGTCTATTTTGGGTTGAGTATTTTATGCACAAAGAAGATTTTAAATATTTTAATAACTATTCTAAAACTAATAAAAACACCCCTCTGTGCTACGTTTTCTACGGAAACATTTTTTCAAACAGGCACGAATGAGTGTAGATCTTCCAGGTGAGTCTATGTTGTTACTAAACCTCTTTAGGTAGAGAAAGCAGCCTATGGTTCACTTAGCCATCATTTAGCTCCTCGTAGAAAGCTGTATCACACTGCCATCTAGTGGCCATATTTTATACCAGAAAGGAATAAAAAACAGCTGAAATTTAAAAAATACTAGCCAGTGTCCTCTGCTGATTCCCACCTGCAGCTTAATGTAATGACTCTGAACTAAGTAGAAACACTCTTGTCAACTAAATGTAAATATTGTAAAGAAATATGCTCACCAAGTAGATGAGATCACTACAAGTTATCTGTTTTATCATTAATTGCACAAAAATAAATTTGAATATGTTTCGTTGAGAACTAAATATTAAATAGTAGTATCAACAGATGCTTTACTAATTGATAAAGTTTTTTAAAAACTTTAAAAAAGTAATGATTTTAAATTGTGCTAGCTTTTCTTTTAGCCTCATTTTTAACAGAGGAAGCCTGTTTCACCAACCTGGGACTTGCTTTTTCAGGTATCTGTCTGACCTCCATGCCTCAGGTGACCCGGCCTGGCAGTGCATTGGAGCCCAGCACAAGTGGATTCTTCAGCTCATGTACAACTGCAAAGAGGGCTTTGTGAAAGACCTGAAAGGCAAGGGATTCTCTTCTGATTTATTATGCTATTCCTTAACATCACTTTAATGCATGTGTAAACTCCTTAACTGCTAAGGGCATGGTTACCTAATTTTCTTGGTGTCTGTTCTTACTTTCTGTTTGTTTTATGGATTTTTTGAACACTGGTTAACATTATACCTAGGAGTGAGTGACAGAACAAGTATGGGAGAAAACACTTTTCACTGTTTTGGTTTTTTTTAAATGCTATCATAGGAGGCGACATGATGTTGTAGAAATGATACTAGTCCCTGATAAATAATAGTCCACGCATTTCATCAAATGTATGTTGAGCCTGTGCTCTGTAGCAGGCACTGTGCCAAGTACTGGAGAGACAGTGAGTAAAACAGACTCTGTCCCTGTCCCACACAGGCAGAGGAAGGGAGAGGCATTAAACATGTAAGTAACGAAATTAAATGTTGAGGCAAGTGATAAAAAGAAGAATACCAGGATATTACGAAGGGAAGAGGAGAATGCTTTAGATGGCTCCTTTAGAAAGGTATCTCGGGGAAGGCTTCATATTAGAAAGGACTGGAAAAATGACTCTCAGAAGACTGTAGTCTGACAACTACATGTGCAAAGGCCTTGAGGTCAGCTGGAAGTGAGACGTCACGGCTGCATTTGCATGCAGGATTATTGACGTTTGTTTGTATAATCCTATCATTAAACAAACTATTGAATGTATTGAATGCCTGTTGCACTCCAGACAGTTGGGAGCACTGTAAGGACACAGTAGTGAGAAGGACAGACCAGGGCTTGGCTCATTCAAGCTGACAGAATAATGGGGAGGCAGATGGGTAACTGACTGCTGGGATATAACATGCTACTTCCCAAGATGGGGACGTTTTGAGTGCATGGTGGCACTTAGGAACAGCATCTGATCCAGAGTTTGAGATCAGAGAACTGACATTCTCGGATCTGAAGGAAGTGGCATCCGTTGTAAGAGCTGGAGGATATCTGTATCGGCTGGTTGAAATAGGAGAGGAGAGGCTTAACAACTATTCCAGGAAGAGAAGGGAGGCAGATCCTGTGTGGCTGGACGGTGCGGGGCCAGAGTGGCAAGTATTGAGGCTGGACTGAGGAGGCGCTGGGGCCTGACGGTCTTTGTTGGCCACTCCCAGGAGTTCAGACTTTACCCAGAGGGTGGTGGGGGAGCCATCGAAGGATCTAAACTGGGAAAAGACAGGAGCAGACTTGTTTTTTCAAAAGACAACAGCTCTGACTTCCATGCGGTGTATGGGTGAGAGAGAACAAGCCCAGAGAAGTAGAGCCAGTCAGGAGGCTGGCAGAATGAACAGGCATCTGACCTGGGATGGAGGTCATGGGGCTGTAGAGAAGCGCCTGTGTCCCAAGGCTTTTCAGAAAATAGGTGATGGAAAAAGGAGGAAGGGCTGAAGGGATTCCTAGAGGTCTGACTATGGCAGTTAAGATGGTTGTGTCCTTGAGTTAGGTAATATTGGGGAGAAAAAGTATCCCCCGCCTTTTGTTTGGACAGGTTGATTTGAGAGTTGTATGACACGCAAGTAGAGCTAGCCTTTAGGTAGTTGGATTTAAAGAGTGAGAGGTTTGAGTATGGTCTGCAACAGATGGTCGGCAAGAGTTGAGATTGACCCATGAAGATGAAAAAAGAAAACCCGGGATAGAATCCTGAGGAGCAGTGTTTAAGTGGCTATTAGGAGAGAAGCCTGCAGAGAGATGAAGAAGTAGTGGACTCAGGGCAGGAGGGAAACAGGAGGACATAGTGTCACCAAACCAGAGAAGGGAGTAGTCAGCAGGGCACTAAGGTGAAGGGGCAGGTAGGAGAGAAGTATCCTTTAGAACGTGTCCTGAGGTTGTTGGCAGGGATCCTGGAATGCAGTCAGTGGCCTGAAACCCTAACTGGATGCCATAAAGGAGGAGTAGTTGTCCTTCTCAGGTCCCCAGGAGGGTTAGGGGATGTAACATGACAACCATCCTGGCACAGAATGAAGCACAGCAGAGAGGTCACCATTATTTATTTATAGCATAGTTTTGTACTCAGTTCATTGGCTTGGGCTTGAGTACTTTACAGCTCTGATTTTGTTCTTCTCTATGCTTGATATTTAAGAAAACTTTGTCACAATTACTATTAGTATTATTTTATGTTTTTAGCAAGGGAAAATGATAGCAATTAATATACATAGTCCATGATCTTTGAAAATATTTAAAGTGCCTTTTATATTTATTTCTGTGTTGATTCAACTAATAATATTTTAGTCTACTCTGTCAGGGCTCTCCACCTTGACTGACCATCAGAAGCTGCTGGTCCGTTTATCACCTATCAAGTCCTGGCCTCCACCCTATTCCATGCTGATTATATTAAAATCTCTGGAGGTGGTACATTAGTAACTTTCAAGCTCCTAGATGATTCGGGTACACCCAAGGTTGATCCTCAGCATGCTAGGTCTTGTGCTAGGAGTTGCCAGCGTGGTGGTTAGCAGGCCTCTTGGAGCTTATTGTCTGGTGAGAGAAATATAGCATTTTAAAGGTGATGTAGGTATTCGTTTAATTATACTTTTGAGAAGTGTCATGAAGTGTGGAGTAGAGGACCAAGTCTGATTGAGGGGGTAGTCCACAGATATCTTAATTGAACCTAAATGATGACCTTCAATTCTCTAAATAGATGTGAAGAAGATTCCAGACACCTGGGAGGCACTCAGTAACAGTCACTGCTGTCTGCCACACTTGATGATGAACATGGTAACTGCATTCACCAGATAGAAACAGGATATATGGGCGGACAAAGGATTTTCTTTCCTGTGCGCATAAGAAACGATCTGAATACATAATTTGAAATACATGAAAATATTTGAATTTCTGGAATGTGTGTGTAATTTATAAAGATAACATAAGATAACATAGACTTTTTGAAATTGGAAAAATTTTTCTGGAATTTCATATATCTTACCTGAAATATCTGATAACCAGTGTTTCATCACCAAAGGTCTGAATCTTTCTTGAAGATAAAGGGAAGTCCACCCTTATTCTTCCTTCTCTGGATCCATTCATTAGTGACAAGCTTTGCCTGAAGTTACTTTCATAAATTGGTCTTTGATTATAAAGTGAAAATCATAATACCATACAACTCTTTGAACTTTAGTTTTCATAATAATATAACATAAATTTCCTGTATTCCCTAGTCGTGTATTTATGGGTTATATTTTCAGTGTTTCCTTTGACATTCAGAACCTGCCTAACTGTTCCCTTCACTGTTAGTAAATCTCCTAACATAGGAGAGGCTTTTCACTGGAAGATGGGTGTGGTCTTTTGAGCTTCGGTTGGAAACAGCTTTTCTTTTATTTTAGAGAATCCCGCACTTATTTAAAAGCAGAAAGTCTGATGTAACATCATTCAGTGTTGCACCCTAGGCTCAGCAGTTATCAGCTCCTAGCCAATGTTATTTCCACCCTCCCCTGCTGTTCTCCCCTTGGATTATTTTGAAGCAGGTCACATCATTCCATCCATAATTAATTCAGTGCATAATTTTCAGAGATAAGGAGTTTTTGAAAACTGTCACCAAAATACCATTGTCATTACCTAAAATATTATGAATACTTTCTTAATATCAAATGTTCTATTAATTTTCAAATTCAGAAGCAGAATAATGTCTCAGATCTTTCTAAGTGCATTGATATCATTGCTTTTTCACTGATAGTGCACTTGCAAATAATAAATGTGGCACAAATGCAGACAAATTGTGTTTCCCAGAATGGAAGAATTAGCCATTAGTAAAACATGGTCTCCCTTGGCCAGCTTGCACTTGTATTTTTCCATTTGTGATCATTCGTATCTGTATATGTCATTGCACATGCGTTAACTCTTTATTATACACTTACCTGCATTTCTATCCATATGTAATGTAGCTGTAGTATATGTATGTGTGTTTATATAAAATATTAGCCTTACTTATAAGTTTTCCTAGGATTATCCCCAACTTTTGTGTGTTCTGTAACTATTTATGATGGATCTCAATGGATATTTTATGATTGTCTTAATTATATATATAACAAATGTAGTATGGGGAATGGTCTACTAAATATTACTTGGCATTTCTATTTGACATTTCCTCATAATTGTGCCATTATAGATTCAGAAGAAAACTGGGGATTTATCTTGTTCAATAGATGAGTTTAGCTCTATTTTGCATGTGAGTAAAGTGTCTCAGAGAAGCCAGGGGACAGATCCAAGTCCCCTCTGTCCTGAGTAGGGGGAAAACAAATGCATGTCCGGATCTCTCCCCATCCCACCAGACTGTACTCCTGGCAGAGCAGTGCGTTCAGGCAGCAGGTTATGTGGCATCTCCCTGTGTTACATCATTGGAGCAAATATTTTATCAAATAGGATTTCTAAGCATCATGGCAAAGCAAACCAGCATTTCACCAGCAAGGGACGGCCCACTGGCATCTTAGAACACAGGGAAGCTGTGCCCAAAAGTGGCCAAGCTGGACAAACTGTTTCTGATTGCAGTGACTTTTATGCCATTTTTCTGTAAGTAGGTGGCTTCTGTTAAGGAAATTTTATATAGGTGTAATTACTAACCTCTAACTTGTGTTAACATACTGTATTCATTATAAATAAATGCTCTGCGAATGAACAAGTGAAGAAAATGGAGATGGATGAGAAAATATCCAGACCCTTAGAGGGATTCCAGGAAATAGAAGGATATTCCTGAGAAGAGAGACCATGCGTCCCTTCCATAGCTGAAGGGACTTACAGTACCAGGGATGTGTAAAGAGGCAGATCCAGCAGCTCTCCACGGATGCCACTGTTTTGCCTTGATACAAGTATGTCTATGTTTTATCTGACCTTCCGTGCTCAGCGACTGGGTCCTTGTTTGTGTGGCACCTGCTGGTTTCCTTGAATTGATTGTAGCTGTCTACTGAAGCTGTCTAGCACATTTGAAAAGGCAGTTACCGTTCTGACCGTAAGAAATTGCTTAGAAATGATTTGCTCTTCTAAAGG